CTCCTGCACGCCCCCCACTGGGGACTGAACTGGATTTCAGTTTCCATTCTCAGAGTCTCACTGGTTTAACTTCCCATGAAAAGGTGGTGCGATGCAGGTCTGGCTCCCAGCTGCACACTGAGCTTTCATTTAGCGACCAGTTTAGAGTGGTTGGACAAGTCTATACAGAAAGTTGGTTTCCCAATTCTTTAGATCACTCTGGAACTATTCACTGTACCCGAGGCGTACCTGAGGCTCAGATTCTAGCACTTCCAGGATGCCCACAGCTATTCTGAAAGGCTCCGAACCAACTCCGATTCTGAAAGGAGGCAGCACAGGGCAGTTCAAAGTAGAATGAGCTAGTTCTTAGCAAGTGAGTTGGGACATTTTATTTCAGAGAGGAAGAGAGAGAGAGAGAGAGAGACATCAATGGTGAGGGAGAATCCTGGATCGGCTGCCTCCTGCACGGCCCACACTGGGGATCAAGCCCGCAACCCAGGCCTGTGCCCTGACCAGGAATTGAACCTCGATCTCCTGGTTCATGGGTCAGTGCTCAACCACTGAGCCACACCTGCCAGGCTGGGCCTCACTTGTTTATCCTTGTCTATAAAATCATCTGTGGATGGCTTATTGCAATTCCTCCTTATCAGGAATAAAGGGAAACAAAACTCAGTTTTCTTACCTAAGAGCTTCTGTAGATAAGCAAGCTGATTTTACAGATAAGTCTGCACAAATATTTTTTTAATTGGGTCAATACGGAGTGGTTCCCGCTACACTGTGCTGTGTAAAACTAGCCACGGGGAATCGAACCTTTGAACTTCAAGCAGTCATGCTAATCAAGCCGGCTGAGGTGCACCGGGGCATAAAATAATCACAGGGAAGTACAGTGTGTATATATATATATACATGGTCAGCAACTTCCTCTCACTGCAGAAACAGAAAAATCGGCTGTCATTTGGGTGGGGAAGGCGTGATACACTCACAACTACCCAATTGCTACAATTCTGTTTATTTCCTTTTTTTTTTTTTTTTTTATTACCACTGTTGTCAGTGTCATGCGAGAATCTCTTCACACTGACATACATGGCAGGGCACTGAAGGCGCGATGAGCAGAGGATGTGAGTCTGAAGTTTAGCATCACTGCCCGGAACAGTGGAGCCTCGGCTTGCATGAGCGGCTTGCTCAGGTAAGACAGCTGGTCAGCAGCGTTGTTATGTAGGCAATCATTAGCAACGAACTCAGATGTGTAGAACCTCTTTCATTTGTCAGATCAGCAGAGGCACAACGTGTGGACGACTCAAGGCAGTCATCATACCGAGGGAATGCAGGCTTCGATATTTTTTTTTTTTGGAGAACAATTCTGTGTGTGTGTGTGTGTATATGTATGTGTGTGTGTGTTTGTGTGTATACACACTGGGTGGCCAGATTATGATGATCTCTGAACTCATAATCTGGCCACTCAGAATGTGTGTGTATGTGTGTGTCTCAGAATGTGTGTGTGTGACCAATGGACATAAAACTCTGGGGAAGGAGGGTATGTATGGGAGGGAGGGAGGGGGGCAAAAAAAAATCAATAAAATATATTTTAAAAAAAAGAATGTGTGTGTGTGTATGTATATATGTATATGTATATATAAAAATATATATATTAGAGGCCCAGTGCATGAATTCGTGCATGGGTGAGGTCCGAGCCAGCCTGGCCAGCGGGAGGGGACATGGGTGGTTGGCTGGCCTGCCTGCTGGTTGAAGTCCTGGTGGAGGGGACAATTTGCATATTAGCCTTTTATTCTATAGGATATATACTGAGTGGCCAGATGATTATGTGTTCAGAGATCATTGTCATCTGGCCACTCAGTGTGTGTGTGTGTGTGTGTGTGTGTGTGTACACACACACACACACACACACATATATATATATATATATATATATATATATATATATATATATATATATATATATATAATGTGATTTTTCTTTGATTTCTTAAGCCTAATAGTATTTTTCAAGTTTTAGAAGTGAATTATCCAGTAGTTTTAGAATTAAAGTTTATTTTGAAAGGAGGTGTACATAGCAGACACAAGTCTGATGTTTGGGAAGCTAAAGATGTGAACTAGTTGTCACTGGTTACATTGAAGTTCAGTGTCGGTGCCACCCCTCTCATAGTGCTAGATTCTGTGGTCTCTGTACCTCTTTTCTGTTCTGAAGCATTCGCTGGTGTGAAATAGAATAGCAAGGTGATGGTAAGGAGTAAGATATCAGATGCTGTATGAGATGGTCTACTTAAAAAAAGGAGCATTATCTGTTAATACAGAAACATGATTACGTTGACAGATTTTAGTGTAGGATGTATTATCTACACAAGGCAGGGGGCTAGTGGGTTTCTTTAATAACATCATAAAAAAGGTCCATTTCTTATGGAAAATAAAAACTACTTTGATCAGATCAGCTTTTCTTAATAAATAAACTGGCTTATTTCACTTTCTTCTTGACTGATTTGCTACAGTTTAGGTTTTAGATATTTACAACCAGATCTGACACACTAAGTGTGCAGCACATGGACTATTTCCTAAGTAAAAACGACAGGAATAGAATAGAATAACAAAGACACTGGTAGACATTAGTGAAGGGTCTCAGGATTTGAACTAGAGCAGTGGTCAGCAAGCTGCGGCTCAAGAGCCATATGGGCTCTTTAACCCCTGAGTGTGGCTCTTCCACAAAATATCACAGCCTGGGAGAGTCTATGTTGAAGAAGTGGCATTAGAAGAAGTTTAAGTTTAAACAATGTGGCTCTCCAAAGAAATTTCATTCGTTGTACTGTTGATATTTGGCTGTTGACTCATGAGTTTGCTGATCACTGAGCTAGAGACACTGCATAGCCCTCAAGTTTTCCAGTCTTTAGGTGGGTCTTGTTTGGTATAAAAATTATTTCAAAATTGCAATAGGGACTTTTTTCAAATATACTGTTTCTGTAATCCAAGAGGCAAAAAACATAACCACGATTCTGAAGAGAGATAGAGAACAAACATCCGCAAGCGGCCGGGGGCAGATAAGAATCTCAGAGGGCAATGTATGTGTTTAGCCAAAGAGAGGATAGGATTCTAAAAGTAAGATTGAGAATCCTCCCTCTAGATTAGGAAAGAATAGAGAATGTGGCTCCTAGAAAGTTATGGTGAAAATCACAAGCAATGTGGCACATTCTGAGTAAGCTCATGATTCTGATTTGATCAGAATTCAGTAAATTCAGTTATTCCCCCCTGAAAGAAATGAGGACATGAAAAAAATATGAGGAGTTTTTATGTGACTTTTAAACCCTCTAGTTACCCTTTAAATAAAGATTTAAAAGTAAGACATAGGAAAGCAAACACTACACCTGCGTTTATGCTGAGATGAAAATAACTTCTAAAAAACCTATTCTCTGAAAAACCAGATACTCAATTACACACATAGACACATGAGGGCGCTCTAACCAGCAAGCACAGCAACCACAGTTTTGACAGAATTTGAAAGGAAACGTTGTCTAGTGTTCAGTATTTGAAAGAAATTACTGATGCCCTTTGGTAAAGACCCTGGGATATCGGTATTTATCCTTGGTTACTACACCTGCCTTCTGTGCTATTCAGGATCTTGCCCGAGTATCTGTTTCTGTGGAATTAAGTTTACTTCTCAGATAGAAAAAGAGACTCTTCTGATAGCATTAGATTTTGGAGAAGTGCTTTAATCCAGCCATGAGAAGACACCATTTTGAAAAGTAGTGATGTATACTGAATGAGATGGTTAGAGATCAGTCTTCTCTCTATGAACGTGGCCATCAAATGCTTTTGCAACACGTCCCTTTGCCAGTGTGTATTGCTTGAAAATGCCTTAAAATAAAATAAAAAAGTACCTTTCTAGGAAAAAAAAATTCATTGTCATTTTCAAATTGCTTTACAATCTAATATAATAACTACAAATCCCTCTAGTATAAAGTGAGAAAACTCAGGCATTGAACTATTTTTATCAAATTTTGTTTTGTAGACAAAGACACTTTGCACCCCAACTTTTGCTTTTATTTTACCTGCACAATTGGGATTGGAAAAGGTGAGCAGGCACCCACACTTTCCCTTTCCATCCAATACATCTACCCTGTTTCCCCAAAAATAAGACAGTGTCTTATATTAATTTTTGCTCTCAAAGATGCGCTAGATCTTATTTTCAGGGGATGTCTTATTTTTCCCATGAAGAAGAATACGGTACACATTTATTGTTAAATGAAAATAAAGGAAATTTATTACCTGTATATGGTACGGTAGTACAGTAGTTGTCAACACAAACCAGACAAACTGTGAATCCTACAGTATCAAGAATTTACTCATTTATTCAATGACAATCATGTCATCATCTTCTGGAACATCATCATAACAATCCAATTCCTGAATTTCCTGTGACTCCATTTCTTTCAGAATCAGTGGACCAAATCTCTCATGTTTAGCTTGGGGTGGGGGCTTATTTTCGGGGGATGCCTTATATTTCACTCTGAAGGAAACCTGTAAGTAGGTCTTATTTTCAGAGTATGTCTTATTTTCGAGTAAACACGGTATGTTACTGTTTTACCCACTTTTTAAAAAACCATTCGCCTTAACTACCATGTATACTAGTAATCCTATATAATAAAAGGCTAATATGCAAATTGACCAACAGGGAACGACTGGTCACTATGATGTGCAGTGATTACCAGGGGGAAGATGCTAAACACAAGAGCTGCTCCTGGTGGTCAGTGTGCTCCCACAGGGGGAGTGCCGCTCAGCCAGAAGCTGGCTCATGGCTGGCGAGTGCAATGGCCTGCCTTCGAAGCATCCCTAAGGATGTCCGTGGGGAGTGGGCCTAACCCGTCAGTCGGACATCCCCCTAGGCTCCCAGACTGTGAGAGCGCACAGGCTGGGCTGAGGGACCCCCCTCCACTGAGTGCACGAATGTCATGAATCAGGCCTCTAGTTTTAAATATTTAACATGGCAGAGGAGGGGGTGGGGGGAGGTGGGAGAGGGTGTAGGACGGATACATGTTTAAAAAATATCTGCAATTCGGTTCTAGCTCCTGTGACAAAAGTCAAGAGAAGCTGGTATCAATGAATAACAACTCGGCCTCAACATGTATTCGGCCATCTGCAATCTCTTCCGTGGCTCTCCCAGTCCTCTACATCTTCCTCTGCATCATCGGTCTCTTTGGGAATTCTCTCTCTCAATGGGTATTTTTAGCAAAAATCACCAAGAGAACATCCACTCACATCTACCTAGCGCATCTCGTGACAGCAAACTTACTGGTGTGCAGCACCATGCCCTTCATGGGCGTGTACTTCCTGAAAGGCTTTCAATGGGAGTATAGATCCACACCGTGCCGGGTGGTCAATTTTTTGGGAACCCTCTCCATGCATGTCAGCATGTTTGTCAGCCTCTTGATTCTGAGCTGGATCGCCATCAGCCGCTATGCCACCTTGATGAAAAAGGATTCCACGCAGGAGACCACTTCGTGCTACGAGAAGATCTTCTATGGCCACTTGCTGAAGAAATTCCGCCAGCCCAACTTTGCGAGAAAACTCTGTATGTACATCTGGGGAGTTGTACTCTGCGTCATTATTCCCGTGATCATATACTACTCGGTGGTGGAGGCCACAGAGGGGGAAGAGAGCCTGTGCTACAACCGGAAGATGGAACTAGGAGCCATGATCTCTCAGGTCGCGGGCCTCATCGGGACCACATTTATTGGATTTTCGTGTTTGGTCGTCCTGACATCATACTACTCTTTTGTCAGCCATCTGAGGAAGATAAGGACCTGCACATCCATCACGGAGAAGCATCTCACGTACAGCTCTGTGAGGAGGCATCTTTTGGTCATCCAGATCCTATTGGTAGTCTGCTTCCTTCCCTATAGCATTTTTAAGCCCATTTTCTTTGTTCTCCACCAAAGAGTGAGCTGTGAGCAGCTGAATTATTTGATAGAAATAAAAAACATCCTCACCTGTCTGGCATCAGCCAGAAGCAGCACAGACCCCATTATATTTCTTTTTTTAGATAAGACATTCAAGAAGATACTGTATAATCTCTTCACAAAGTCAGATTCAACACCTATCCAACCCTCTGGTTGACTTTTGAGCGGGGAAGCCCGCCACATAGAAACGCACTCATGTGACTATAAACTACAAGGTCAACAGGCCAAGGCCCGGTGGGCAACAGGCACCGAGCAGATGCGTTTGGTTTAAAAAGTGATCCCGAAACTCACTTTACAGTTCAACTCGTACCGAAGGTTGAGAAGCAGAGACTTTCAGAGGCAAAAGTAATCGCATTGAGAGGGTCCCACTGCATAGGAAACTAACAGCCATGTCTACGTGAAGTCACCATGGGGACTTCTACTGGGAACACAGAGTGTCCTGGCGGGAGGACAAAGAAGCCAAGGGTGTGGCCTTTCCTGCTTCCTGGTAGTTCAAATGCAAGGTCCATCTGTGGAGAGTGTTTTGTTGGGAACTTTGAAAACGAATAAAAGAAAAAGTGAACACGAAATTTCCTCCCTTAAGTCCCATCTAAATGTGTGAAGGTATGAAACACACGACTTGCTAGTACCTGGCTTATGATACTAGGAGAAGCAATATTCACTGATTCTTGTATTTCTTAAGCAGATGTACTTATAAATATGCTTAAATATTTGGATTAGACTTTGTCAATGCCATTATATGCCAATCTGGATCGCATTTTGTATATTTTCCTCTGCATTTAATATAAACAATGTTGTTATTGCTGACAAATAGAACCTGGCATGTAGATCTGTTCTATTAGTGTTGGTGAAATAAGTGAACTAATTCATAGGCACTATTATTAAATCAGATGATGTTACCATTATGAGTAGCTACCACTTACTAAGCACTTGCTATGTGTGAGGCATTCTTCTTACATGCTTTGTAAGTATTATTTCAATGATCACAACCCTAAAGTATGTCAATTTACCGATTAAAATCTGAAGTGCATACGGTAGTTAAGTAAGTTATCCAATTTTCTAAGTAAATATTTAAAGAGTAAGCATTTCTTTTTAAAAAAAAATATATTTTATTGATTTTTTTACAGAGAGAAGGGAGAGGGATAGAGAGTCAGAAACATCAATGAGAGAGAAACATCCATCAGCTGCCTCCTGCATACCTCCCACTGGGGATGTGCCCACAACCAAGGTCCATGCCCTTGACCGGAATCGAACCTGAGACCCTTCAGTCTGCAGGCTGACGCTCTATGCACTGAGCTAAACCAGTTTAGGCAAGAGTAAGCATTTCTTAATGGTCACTTCTTTCTTCCAGGCAATAGTCAGTAAGACAAATGCTGGTGACTGTGTTCTGTATTATACACATTATAATAATTATTGTTAAAAAGGCGTGTTTTATCTTCCCAAAGAGATGGTAAGCACCTTTGGAGCTATAGCTGTTTTCTCTTTCCATTCCTATGGTATCTGAATTCTCTGCTCAGATAAGAACCAAACAAAAACAGCTGAATAAAAATAAAGTTGAATAACTATTCAGTGTAACCTGTTACTTAGAGACTTAAAGTGTCATGTATTCTGCCCCTGGCGCTTCCTTCAGTGCTTGAGAAGTTCCAAGTTCACGCAGCACTTCCCCAAGCCTTTCCACTGGCAGCAGGCTTGGGTCCTGAATAAAAAATGTGGAAGCACTCATTCTTCAGACCCCCCATGGGCCAGGTGATCAATACCGCTAGGCTTCCCTATCACATCTGCATGGTTTTAATTTAAAGAGAATAGAAAACAAATGGTAAATGTTTTTTAATTCTGCTGTTTTACTTCAATGCTTAATTGAGAGAAGAAAACCTTCAGAGGAAAGTCTGAAGAAGCACCTGCTGGCTTCAAACACACGCAGCGCGCGTCTATTCTTTCCCGGCAGCGATCTCATTTCTGGCTGATTAATCTGCGGAGACAGCAGGTGCCTCCCTGCGTGCTGCCTGCAAACAGAGGTGCCCAAGCCAGAACTTCATGGACATGAGAATCACAGATCACAGAATGGAAGCTTTGCCAGTTACACCAGTAGTTTGAGTCTCATACAAGTTTTCAAACCAAAACTTATTCGATTAAGGGGAGCTGAGAAGATTCTCAATATTCATTTAATGTACTGTATTAAATTTTACTGCGCTTAGGGTTTTAATATATATATCTGCTAAAAAGAATTATTTTGTGTAATTTATTTTAGAGACAGAGACAGAGACAGAGACAGAGAGAGAGAGAGAGAGAGAGAGAGAGAGAGAGAGAGAAATGTTGGTTTGTTGTTCTACTTATTTATGTATTCATTGGCTGATTCTTTTTATTTTATTTTATATTTTTACTAGGGGCCTGGTGCACAGATTTGTGCACTGGTGGGGTCCCTCTGCCTGGCCTGCAGTGATCAGGCCAAAACTGGCTCTCCGACATGCCCCCAGGGGTCCTGGATTGCAAGAGGGTGCAGATCAGTTGGAGGGACCCCACCAGTGCATGATTGGGGTTGGGGAGCAACTGTGGGAGGGCTCCAGGGTGATTTCAGAGAGGAAGGGAGAGGGAGACATGCCTTATAATATATATATAATTACTACACAAGCAAAAGGAAGATATACCACTCACCCTGGAAGTGAGTTTCTGCTCCCCGGGCAGAAGAGGAGGATGCCCATCGTGTTCTGATTGGGCAGGACTCCCACGGCCTATCTCTGGCCCTGCAGCCTGCAGGGCGGGAGATGTTATAGCAAGTGTGGGAGGAGAAGCTGCAAGGAAATCTTGCTTGGCCAACCACATGGGGAGCACAGAGGGACACTGGTCATATGCCAAGCATTTCCACTGTGCGGCCTAATGCCCTGGACTTTCCCCAACTTCCAATTGAAGTGACATCAGAGGGAAGGAAGAGTTCCTGCATGAGAAAGGCTATATACCTGACAGAAATAGCAGCTTTGGCTGCACTGTCCATGCTTGCTGCCCTTGTCTCAGGAGAAACACAGCAGTGAGCAAAAGAAACAATCATTCTTTTCTTTGCAAATAAAGGAGCTGATTGTTAGAAATACTAGGTAACTAGCTGGAGTGGCTCAGTGAATAGAGTGTCGGCATGGGGACTGAAGGGTCACAGGTTCAATTCCTGGTCAAGGGCACATGCTTGGGTTGTGGGCGTGATCCTCAGTAGCGGGTGTGCAGGAGGCAGCCGATCCATGAGTCTCAATCATCAAAACCCTACACTCCAGCTCAGCACACTCGGATTACACTCAGCAGCCAGTGTGCTTTTCTCTGTAACCCGGGGCTTTTTGGGAGCTGTGGTCAGGGATGGAAAACAAATGTCTGTAACTAAGAATAGAGGAAGAACGACTGGAAGAATCCACAGTGCCATGGCAACCAGCGCGGGTGAACGCCTGCTCACAATCAAGTCTGGCCTGCAGCAGGTGAAAGGAGAACTGAGACCAGTAGGGGACCAGGGGCAGCCAGGCGCGGCCACAGGGGAGCGAGGAAAGCCATTTAAGGGAAGCACGCAGAGTAGGGCTGGGTGTGGGGGCTTCTGCTGTGTCTGGGGTTTCTGCCCAATTCTGAGAACTCACAACTGAGCCCCCACACCTCCTGGACACAAGCCCCACCCAGAATAGAAAGCGCCTGTGCGCAGTAGTTCGTGTTTAGAGAAGCAGCTGACCTTCAACTTCAGTTACTAGAACTGGGAGCCAGTTGGTCAGAGCCGCAGGAGGCGAGGACTGCTTGCGGCCCCATGCCCAGCAGGTGTCCTGGGAGGCTGTTCGCAGAAGCCCGGAGGGACCAGAGACCCCAACCTCAGTGCCGCAGCACTGCAGGCAGCGAGGGGCCAGGGCTGCATTCTCCTTGCCAACTGGACCATTTCTTCCTGGACATTTAACTGAAAATGTTTGTTCGTCCTCACCTGAGGATATTTCCCATTGATTTTTAGGGAGAGTGGAAGAGAGAGAGAGAGACAGAGAGAAACATCAATGTGAGAGAGACACATGGATTGGTTGCCTCTTACACGAGCCCTTACCAGGGCCCAGGCTGGGAAGGAGCCCTCAACCCGGGCATGTGCCCTTGACCGGAATTGAACCAGGGATCCTTTGGTCCATAGGCTGACGCTCTATCCACTGAGCTATCCAAACCAGCTAGGGCTCTTTCTAATGTACTTTTAATTTAGGGGCGAGAGGGAGAAAAGAGAGAAACACTGAAACAAAGTTTTCATGTCCTTTTACAGGAAAAAGAGGAATACAACAGAAGGTGACAGAAAAAGGACTCTGTATGCATCCATAATAATAAAAGCATAATATGCTAATTAGACCAGACGACCTTCTGGACGAAGCTGGGGCTACAAGGGAAGCCCGGGTCCTGGGTGCCAGAGGGAAGCAAGGTCTACTCTTGCACGAATTTCGTGCACCGGACCTCTAGTGTGTTAACAAATGCCTGTGGGAGGCCAGCCATGGGCAAGATAACATTATGTGTGTTACTCAGGCCTGTTTCCATGCCCAGGAGCACTGGGTAATGTCTGGAGACGTTTCTGATTGTGTAACTGGGTGAAATGCTATTGGCATCGGCAGGTACAGGCACAATACACTGGGCAGCCTCCAGCAGCAAAGTGCCCAGGCCCCAGGGTCAGGAGGTGGCTGCTGGGAGACCTGTCCTTGGTAACACACCTCCCGAAACCTCCAAGGCTTATACAGTTCCCTCTCCACATTCATGTGAAACTGCTTCTCCAGAGCAAGCTATGTCCACAATAGGTCTCACGACATCATCAGGTCAAATCTAACTTGATACAAGAAAACATTGTACTCAATTATGATGATTTCAAAGAGAAACACCTACTAAGTTAAGAAAGGTAGCATTATTCATCAATGAAATGTGAGGAACCTAGTGCTTTGGGATTAGTGCCAAGAATTATGAAAAGGGGTGGGGGCAGCGGGAGAGGGGGATGGAGGGGAGAGGGGAAAGGCTGAGAATATTCTTGGCTAGGTGTAGCAAGTGATGAAATAAGCTGAATTTTCTCAAAGGAATGAAACATTGTCCTCTTTTCTTTATGAAAGTATAAGGAAAGACAACTTTAACTACAAAAAGACAAAATCTACATATACATGAAATCTACACACGTTCAAGACATTGGCTATATACTGAGTGGCCAGATGATGATGATCTCTGAACACATAATAATCTGGCCACTCAGTGTATGTCCTATAAAATAAAAGGCTAATATGCAAATTGTCCTCTTGACCAGGAGTTTGACCAGCAGGCAGGCCAGCCAACTGCCCATGTCCCCTCCCCCTGGCCAGGCAGGCTGGACCTCACCCATGCACAAATTCATGAACCAGGCCTCTAATACACACACACACACACACACGTCAGATTTTTATGTGTTCAGAGATCATCATAATCGGGCCACTCAGTGTGTATCTGAATGTGAAGAAAAACTGGATGCTTTATTAGCAAAAACATTAACACATAGAGTGAAATGTGAACTCATTACCCAAGTGACATGTATTGCTATGAAAGTTTTATAGTGACCACTCCACTGGAAAACCCCTACAACAAGGTCCTGAATAAAACCACTTTGGGCTAAGTTACGGCTCTGGTCCACTCCTGTTTGCTGGCTTCCACCCTGGAGCGCCTATTCAATGTGTTACCAACAAAGCATGTACACTTGACCCTGAACAACACAGGTTTGAACTGCGTGGGTCCACTTCTATGTTTTTTATTAATTTCTGAGAAGAAGAGAGAGGGAGAGATAGAAATATCAATGATGATAGAGAATCACTGATTGGCTGCTGCCTGCATACTCCTCCCCTCTGTCCCCCACTGGGGACTGAACCCACAACCCAAGCATGTGCCCTTGATCAGAATCGAATCTGGGACCCTCCAGTTCGCAGGCTGACACCCTATCCACTGAGCCAAACTGGCCAGGGCAAGAATAACAACATTTTAGAATGCATGTGCATTTTAACAAAAAGAAGGACATGGGAATGATAAAAACTGCTGCTTTAAGAACTGGTATAGTGATTCCATAGGTAGAAAGCTGCTAATTAAGAATATTAGAGCAATC